CTTCAAGTCGCCAAGGTTGAGGAGCCCTGTTGTAGATGAAAAAATATAGGATGCCTCTCTCGTCACCTATGCAAGTTCAGAGCCAAAGAAGAGAGAAATGAAGAGGCATTACACAACCACGACACAAAGAAAGGGGATTAGGGCAGTAGAAACTGAAAGAACCTTCTTTGAAATGTGCACGTCCGTATCCAGCCCTGTATCATGATTCCTGGCACTTCTCCTAACAGACCAGACTGTTGGGCTTCCTTCCACTCATCCACCATGCTTCGTACTTACTACCCACTTGTGGTTTCCACTTGGCCCCATTGACAATCCCCATCCCGTTGGTCATATCTTGATCATGGCAACCCCCACGGAATGTTTCTGTCATGCTGAGGTGGGCTGATGCATAGGAAATCGCCAGCCAGCGGAAGATGGCATGGTCTGGGGTCTCTTTGACCTCTGGGTTCTCCTCTTCATAGTCCTCCAGGGATGGAGGAGCCACTTCATTCTCATTGATGGGGTGAGCCATGTGAAAAGGATAGGAAATGAGTTTCTCGCCCCCTTGGAAATTGGCACCAAGCACAAAAGGGATCTTTTCCATCCAGGCTAAAATGGCCCTCACCTCGACTGCCACCTGGGAGAAAAAGGTTATGATGTAAAGTGAGGGATGCTGGAAAGAGCATTAGCACACCACAATACTTGAATGAAAAATAAGCACCTTTTTCCTGTAAGCCATGACTGAGTTGCTTCTTTTGATTTTTTTAAATGAAGCCATATAAGTTTACTTCAAATCAATTTTGACTCTTGGTGACTTCAAGATCCATTTAGTTTTCTTAGCAACAGCACAGAACCAGTTTGTTCTTGCCTTCCTCCAGAATGTTTTTTCAACAACTAGCCTAAAGCCCTGGGATTACATGGTGCTCTCAACCAAATACTAACAAGATCCAACCCTGTTCAGCTTTTCTGAGAGCAGCCAAGCCCAAGCAAAACAAACAAAAACGTTTGTTTCTTGGACTGGGGTATTTCTGGCTTTAAAAACCCTCATGCGTGTTTTAGGGGCTGGTGGGTTTTTCCTGCACCACCGTGCCAGCGTTCCAATGCTCAGCAATGTTCTTCCATCTGTTTACTTACTGCAGCCTCTTCTGCAAGGTAGTGATCAGGAATTGGGATATGGTGGTTGGGGACTTTGTGTGGTACCCATTTTCTCTCTTCTGCAGCCCAGAGGATACTGTTGAGATCAGGGAAGTTCTCAAAGAGGTCGTAGCCTTCTTCATTCCAATGTCCCAGAGCCCAATTCCCCAATTCTGAGCCCTGAAAAGAGGATTCACATGCATAAATCATATTCATGGCTAGACCTTACATTCATTTTTATTGTCTTTGTTTCTGAGATTGTCTAAATCACAAATAGGCCTCCATATTTTTGTTCCCCATGGTGATGTGCCAAAACAACTGCCGGGGAACTGTAAAGATGTCTAAAGATAACATGGCAGTTGTATATAAACACTAGCTTCAGATTTGCAAGGCTGAAAATTGCTTGGACACTTTGTGCTCAACTTGGGCAGAATATCTAATTCTGAAACAGCTCAACCAGCCAACTTTTTTTTTTGTAGCGAAGAGAGCAGGATAGGGCTGTGCAAAGCCAAACCAGATCTTAGTATGA